TACATTACATGTTATCAGAAACTCTTATACTTACACTTCTAGAATATTGACAATACCAATAGCTGTACAACTTTATGACAACTCACAAGAATAAGTTAAAGGCTATATATTGGGGTAGTAACAAATCAACAGTTACATAATTTTATCAATAGCTGTATGACTTGAACATCATTGATCCAGTATCTGTCGAGCGCACTTATGCTTCTGGAATTTAAACTTTCACTTATGCCAATCCAAGATTAATAGTTGCAATTCACAAAAAAATGCACGTTTCACCAGCAAACAAATACACTATACTGAATGATAGAGCTACTCTTTCCCCAACTCCAACTGCTGTTTTAATAATTCTCTTCTTCCGTTTACAGTTTTTTGTTGTATTAGTTGGCCACTGCAACCCTCTCTTGCCCTGCTCTGTTTTCCATGTAGATGAAACAATCTGTTCTTCACTTGCTAAGTTATTTCCCATTGTGTCCCCAGCAGCTCACCTGTACCCCAGGTGTCAAAATCTGTCAGGTCTGCACCAGGCAGCCTCCCCTGCTGCCCTCAATGCTATGCTGGGCTCCATCTTCAGCTGCACCTTGCCCTACAGCCCAATCACAGATCACATTGGGTTACTGTGGAGATGGCCACTATACAATTTTAGAAGACTTCTCTTACACATTGTCTGTGCAGCTCTGGCTCTGCCTCTCAGAGCTCTGTGTTACAGCTCCTGTCCTGCTGCACACACTGCCATTCAGGGGGAACCCAGCACCATCCTGGGTCCCCTCTGGACTGCAGCCATACCTTGGCAGAGGCATGCAGGGCTGGCTCCAATACACCAAATAAGTAAAGTGTGTAGCATCCACTCCTCACATCCAGCACTCTTATTCTTAGGGGTGGTATCTCATATGTTGCCCAGACTTCTAGGCTCCCAGGTCTGCTTGGCTATGACTCATCTAGATTTTTAGGCTCTTGGTCTGTCTGCTCAGCTCCTAGGCTGCCTAACTCCACCATCTTATTGCTCTTAGGTCTGCAGTCATCTTCCTGAAGCATCTCAAGATGATGTCACTTAATAATTAAGTCCTTTTTTCACAACCACCATGGGATCACATCTTTACAGTTCTCTCTGCAGTCCTCTACCCAAATTACCACAGGACCACTTAGGAGTCACCAACTGTTTTTATATAATTGTAAAATTTCCATACTTTCTTGGCAAATTCTCATGGGCAGCTCCTTACAGTACTAACTTCTTCTTCCTCACAGCACAGCCAACAAACAAGATTTCTTCTTGACCAGCTAACCCACTCTTTTATAGCACTCATCCTTATTAGTCACAGCTGCGGCCTATTAAGGGCAGGCCTGTTCCTAATCTTTGGTTGCTAGTACAGCTGCAACTCCTGAGGGGCGAGATTACCTTCTGCACTATCTTTATTTTGTTACATTCTATCCCCCCACAAGACAACTTTGAGGGAAAGATATGAGGGACATGGCATGGATACTTGTAGGAGGACACAGTATGGGTAATGTAGAATGTAATCTTAGCCCCCAACGAGTTGCAGCTGGACCCTATTACTAACGATTAGGAGTAGGCCTGATGATAACAGGCAACACCTGTAGCCAATAAGAACTAGTGGCATAAAAGAGTGGATTGGTGGGAAGTGAAGTCAGAAGAGTCTGATGGCTGCTGCAAGGACCAAGAACAGGCAGTGCTTAAAGAAGATACCTATAAGAAACATGGATGAGGTATGAAATTCAGGCACTATGGAATCCTTGGACCATAATGATAAAAGAACTCTTAATATATAGTATAGCATATAATGATAAAAGAACTGTTGGAATATATAAGATGATAGATACTTAAAAAAAATTCAAACTTGGTCAAAGGGAAAGCCATCAAAAGGCATGATGTGCTATTTAGCGCAGGGACATGGACCAAAGCTTGCCCAATTGATTCCCATTGAAATCGCAAGTTGTTGTTTCCCTTCCTGAAAGGAAATAACATTTCAGGACCACAGAAACCAAGAAGATCTCATCTGATGCTGTGGTGGAAGCAGGAAAAATGAAAGCCCAAGCAGGAACCCTATGGCTACAGGAAATGAGCCACCAGCCTTTTCTCTCTTCCAAATGATGATAGCCATGTTTTCTGTGGGATATAAGAGCCAGGAGGGTGTTACATGAATATTCATATCACAATGCTCCCAATTGCATTGATTTGCCATCATAAAAACTTGNTGATCAGTGTCAGGCTTCAGGATCTGGGTTCTTCTCTCCTTTTTTTGCCAATGGTGATTGCTCAGAGTGGGGTTAGCACTGCGCAAAGCACATCCATGGCTGTGAGATGAGTGATCATGTCAGGGAATCCTATTCTGAAAAACATTCATATTGATCTACTCTATCCTTTGTGTCTTTTCCTACCAGTCTGAGCTCAGTAGAGGCCAAGGGAATATGTAAATATTTTTTACATAAAGTCATTCAGGGCACTATTGTTGTTGCCATCTGATTTTAGACACTATTTTATGTTTTGATTTATACAAGATTAAAAATTAGTAGTAAATTCCTGTTTAAATCAATGCATCTGTCTTGTATCTTGTTTCACTGGCCCTGAGCTCCAAGTTGACAACATTTCAGATTACATTATAACATGCAATAAAATTTTCCAGTGGTACCTGAGCAATGCCCTGAATGTCAAAAAGCCTGCTTGTTTTTCTCAGCACTATCAGTTTATCTAATAAAATATTATCTTTCTATGACCTTTGCCAAAATTACTCCTGTCAGGGAATTTTGCTAACTGCCTTCTGCTCTTTCATCCAGGCAGGTATTTATTTATGTGCTCCTATTTGTAATGTGCACCTATTCATTTTTTCTATCTAGAATCGTAGATATTTATAATACTTTAAAAGCAGAGCAACTGCTGTTGTTATCCTCTGCTCTGTATTTGACATCTGGATGCTGGAGCTCTAGGCATTTGACAAGTTAAGTCTTGTGTTGATTTCAAGCCCTGCAAAGGTAAATAGACTTATCTAAAAACTGGGAAGGTTCATGGGTAATTTTTTTATTAAAATGTGATTGGTGCCACTTTGATATGCCAGTTTTTCCAACTCAGGAGACATTTGTTTTTGCAGGACATAAATTTCAGCACATTTCTCTGTCTGAGTTTTTCTGTGTTACAGTGGAGTTAAAACCAGTGCAAGCAGATTAACAAAAGGTATTATCTGCATTTAGTGACACCAGGTAGTGCCTGTGTCTAGGAATCCAGGGTGGATCTGGATTGGGCATGGGAATACTGATGCACAGCACTTTTGGCCACTTCATACAATGTGGAGTAAGAGACCAAAAGATACCTGCTGTACTTCCCAGAGTGGAAGAGCAGCAGCTTTTCCCCTCACCAAGTTTTTCCCAGAACTGCAGCCAATGGAATAATGTGCATTTGCCCTTCAGGGAGGACAAAATGCAACTGGTGCTGGAGTCCCTCTGCTGCGGAGACAGGCTGAGAGCTGGGGCTGCTCAGCCTGGAGAAGAGAGAGCTCCAGGGAGACCTTAGTGACTAGCACCGTGCCTAAAGGGCATCCAAGAGACTCCCTGTATATATCTGTGAAAGCAAATACATGCTCTCAGAATGACTTATCTTTAGACATCTGCTTTAGGTTCTTGAGTTTAAAAGCTAAGGGTACTAAAACCAAGTGGTTTTCAGACAGTTCTGCTTTTGCTTCATTTTTTTGCTTCCTTTCTCATATCCACTGCCAAACATGTGGAATTATGGCCTTGGTGCTGTGTTTTGACTCTCTTTGCTTGCCTGTGAAAACATCCTTGACATGCTGTATCTTGAGACATGCTTATTTTGCTAGTAGTATGTCCTGTTCAGCTTAGGTGTCAGCCACAATTCTTCCTAAAAGAAAGTGTTAAAGAACATTCATTTATGTTAGGTGAAGGATTAGTGCTCTGGGGCCCTTCTTCTCTAAACAAGAAAAGATCTCTGTACTTTTTCCTCTGCAATGTTATCTCTTATGAATAGATTCCTACTTCAATTTGTTTAGGGAAAAAAATGTTGCTTAGCTTGAAGGGCTGACTTCTTTCTAGGACAGGTCCATTTCCTACTCAAAACCTACTTACTCAAGTTCTCTGCCTTGGGCTGTGGGTAGGGGTGTCATGGCACAAGCCCTTCTCTGCTAATTGCTGAACATAGAGGTGAACATCTTCACATCCATGACTTGTAATTTCAGATGTGAAATGGAGGACAGGATTCCATGCCTAAGCTAAAGGATTCCATGCCTAAGCACTCAGGCACTCCAGGGCACATGGGAGCTATGGGAATACTGATGCACAGCACACTAGAGATTTATGGAACCCTTCTTGACCCACGTTCCTAAGAAAGAAGACAGCAAGATACAGGACAAGAGTTTGTGATCTCTGAAACCCACCTGGAAGGCCAGGGATTACTGCTCTAAGTGACTGTTCTGGAGGCTGAGGGTGGCAGGTTGTGCATGGAGCATCAGATCTGGCATGGGATCAGCTGAGCAAAGACACTGTCAGGGGATTCACAATCATATCTCTCTTACTTCTAATCTTTACAATGTGGTGTTAATTATTAATTGAAAGCAGCACTGGGCCAAATTCTAATGGCACTGGAGTGCTATAAAACTGGAAGAATTCTGCCAAAGAGCGTGGCTTTTCTCCTGTGCAGTCAAGGTGATAATGGTGACAGAAAACAAACACAGGGGAAGGAGTCAGCAACTTTGGGCCAGAGTTGAAGCTGTTATGTGAAGCCTGGGTGTGTCTTTCACCATGTGCACTGAAGACATGAAGTTACCACATTCCTCTCTGTAATTTTCCTCCAAATGGACTTAGGTAGCTGATAAGAGCAATGCCAGCAAGCGCCATTCAGGAAGAAATCTAACTGTTATAATAATGTTTCAAAGGTGAAAAGTCTGATGCTTATTGGCTGAAGCTCCATGGAAAGCTCAACAACGTGCCCTATATATTGCCAGAGATGAGAGGGAGCAGTTTCTGTTCCCACTGCAAAAATGGGCTCCACCATCTTCCCACTCTGTGTGACACTTCTGCTGTGTTCTGTCTATGGTTCTCCAGTCTCTGTGAGTAAAACCTGATTTCTATAGACTCCTCTCAGTCCAGAGGCATCTCATACCTTATACTGGTTGTATTCCATTCTCCTCCAGGTGGGACAGCTCTCCAGTGAAGCTGGTAAGTGCTGTGTGAGCTGGTTTGAGTTCTGAAGCATTTCCTTCTGCCTGCTGTGAGCCACCACATCTGAACACTTTATGGTTTGACTGTCTTGCAGATGCTGGAGCTGGTGAGGTATTCAAAGACATTCCCCAAATCAACTTGGGTGAGTTCACATCTAAATTCTCATGAGGCCTGAAGAGTCGTGAGCATAATGCTGAATTTTCAGTATTGTCAAGGAGACTGATGGTCAGGTAGCTCATGGTAACAAGAGAATGAAAATCAAGTGAGGTCAGAACTCTCTGTGACACCTGAATATTTCCTGGATTGTAAGTCTATGTGAACAAAGGATGCGGATGCCTTTTTTTTCTGAATTTTGGACAGACCCATGGTGCTAAGGCAGAAAAACACTGTATGATTCAGAAGGACTCTGCAGCCCAAGCTGTATTTTCTGTCCATCTCTATATGGTCTTTATAAAGTTTTGCAAACATGTTTTGCTACACAGCTTAGATGTTTATTGATCACTGTTCCATTGTGTGACTATTGTCACTGCCTGAGAGCAAGCAGAGCTCATCAAAAGTGACCACTTTTGATAATTGTGCCATCACAAAGGCACTGCCAAGAAGACATTGTCATGAAGTAAATATCGAGTAGAAACTAGAAACTGCTGTTACTTTTATTGTTACCTGTAACTCAGTATATAGAGGCTGGTCCTTATTTATTTTCTGTAGATGCCCAAGGACATTAACTTTGTATAAGCAGGTTCAATGTGGTTTATGAAATGAAATATATTTGAAATTCATTGACATTATTTTTGATTAAATACCATTTCAGCTGCTGGACTGGACCTCTTTCAGGGTGATATCTTGCTCCCTGTAAGTAATTAAAAGCTTTCTATTGCTTGTCCTAATTGTATTTTTGCTACATATCAGCCCATCTCCCTACAGTAGGTACCTCACCAGCTGTTAATTCCCTTTTCAGAAAAATCAGCGAAATGCCTTAAGAAATGAGACCTACAGATGGAAGTTTCCCATTCCCTATATTCTGGGTGATGACCTAGGTAACACAGACACTTTATTCAGATTTTATCTCCAATCCTTATTTGCACTGCAGACACTATGATTAAAATTTTGCCTTTTTCAGAACTGTTTCAAATTAAAAATGTTAAAATTCACTAATAAATACTTATTGTAGTCTTGTTTATATCAAAATTGTTTTTCTTTCTTCTACAGCTAACATAGCAAACCACAATTTAATAAAATTCAATAATTTCTCTTTTCAATCATTTTTCTTTTGGTTCCACATGTGTATCTGTACATATCTTACCTCTCCAAGGTGAACAAACTGCAATGTAGTAAAGGTTCAGTCCTTGTTTTCCAGACCTGAATGCCAAAGCCGTCATTCTCCAGGCATTTGAAATGTTCCGCCTGAAGTCCTGCATTGATTTCAAGCCATATGAGGGAGAAAGAAGCTACATTTTCTTTAGCAAGCAAGATGGGTAAGGATAATATCAATTTCTGTTTAGTTTTGCCGGGTAGAATCAGCTGGGAACTCATTCCATTTGACTTCAGCAGTCTAAAGGTTTGCTACCAGCAGACAAAAAGAGGCCACCAGGAAAACAGCTCACCTTAGATTCTTAGACAAAAGGCTCGCAAGCAGCTGCTCCCTCTGCTGACTCTTGTTTGGAGGAGGAGTTCTGAAGGCGAATCCCAGCCTCTCTGGGTTTTCGTCAACTACTTCCACTTCTCCATCTAGGGCTGTTTTCCATTTTGATGCAAACCTCCATGTACATCCTTTTAACTTACCAAGAATGTGAATAACTAGAAGTTAAGTCTGGAAATTTTTAGAAGGCGGACAAAAAAAAAAGAAAANGGTTAAAGGATCAAGTGCAGCAGCAGAGGAAGAAGGGATGTGTGGTTGTTCCTTTCCTTTCAAGGCCTTTCACAGGGGAGATGTGTCCAGCAGAGCTGCTTATGATCTGCCTCTGGACCTAAGCTGGTTATGGAAATGATCAGTTCACAGAGGTTTTGCTGTGTTCTTGCTGGAGATATTTCATGTTTCAGCTGCTGTGATGGGTTGGCCTTGTGCAGTTGTCATATTCTCACTTAGCTGCCCCTTCACTCTCACCTACTGTTGGGGCCGGGGTGGAAAATAAGATGGAAAACATCATGGATTGAGATAACGACAGGGAGATCACTCACCAGGTAATGTCATCGACAGTAGAGTTTTGAGAAGAACAAAATCAAGTTATTTATTGACTATTGGAAATATTGTAGGTTGATAAGAAACAAAGAGGAAATTAGAACCTGCTGCCTCCACCATCCCCTTCTTTCCCAGATCAGTTTGATGCCTCTTTCCCAGGTTCCCTACATCAGTGCAGAGGGATGGGGAATGGGGGTTGCAGTCAGTTCATGACAAGTTGTCTCCTCCACTCTGTCCTTGCACTCTTCCCCTGCTCTAGCAATGGTCCCTCCATTGGGCTGCAGTCCTTCAGCATGAGCTGTTTCCAGCGTGGCCTCTGCCTGGGCTGCCATCCCTCAGGATACACCCACTGCCCCCAATTGTGCTGTGGGGTTCTCCTGGGGCTGCAGGTGCCTCTCCTTTGCACCACAGACCTCCATGAGCTGCAGGGCACACTTGCCTCACCATGGGCTTTTTCACAGCCTGCAGGGGACTTCTTTCTCCAGCACATGGAGCAACCTATCCCCTCCCTTCCTTGGCCCTATTCTTCAGGACTGTTTCTCACAATATTCCTCAGTCCTCACTGCTGGGACATGTTCCATCCATAACTGGACTTCAATGCACAGAAGGCCACAACTGTTTCAGGATACAATCCTGGAAAACAAAATGAAATCTCCTCAGGGCAGGTGTCATGGACTTGTTATGGAAATATAAATTCAAATGCTTCCTAGCCCCAGAAGGTGGATTGGCATGTTGTAAAGTGGCATTAATTATTTGTTTGCTTGTTTCTGGGCAGTTGCTCTTTATGGAGAGTTGGGTAGTTTGGTGAGGCAGCCTGCTAGAATCAGTGGTTGAGAGGTTGCTCTGGCCTAAATGGTTGTACCTCTCAGTTCAGAAGCAAGCAGGAAGCTTTTGGCAGGTGAGATGAGAAATGCACACCTGGCACTGGGTGTGAGATAAGCGACCCCCTGAGTGTGAGCTGGTAAAATAAATGCCCAGATCAGGTTTTGCTCTGTTCATGCTGGTGTGAAGGAAACTTTCCTGTCTCACCACCCAGGAGGCCTCTGACAGTCACGGCCTAGCACCAGAGACTGTCACTGTGGGGCCCAAAGCGCCTCCACCATGGGCAGCTGCCCCACTCCCCTCCCTACACACACCATGCTCACAGCCAGACCAGGTTTCCTCACCAGCTTGGCACTGGGTTTCCCATAGTGGAGTCTCAGGCCTCTGGATCTTTAAAGCACTTTAACCATGGCACAGTAGCACAGAAGCAGCTCAAGCTGGGTGCCTCTGAGGAGGTAAGCCAAACAATTGTGTCCCTGGGATTTTGTGTCCTTCCTGTCTATGCACATGATGACTGGAGTGTCTTAAGTGTCCAGTCAGCTGTCTGGTGCCACAGGTCCCTGTGCCCCTGTACTGTGCAAGGCTTGACACCATGCTTGGGACTCCCTGCACTTCCACACAACCTGCAGCTCCCTCCCATTGCAGCTGCTGCCTGAGCTGTCTGCCCTGAATGTGTTCCTCCACACTGGAACTATTTCACATTTCACTGTCATGGTGAGTTGTCCTTGGGCAGCTCTCAGAGTCCCACTCTGTCACTCCTTGACTCTCACTCTGGAATAGGACAGGGGTGGCAAATAAGATGGAACTGCTCATGACTCAAGATGAAGACTGGGGAATGACTCCCCAATTATTCTCATAGACAACGCAGAGTAGACGCAGGGAAAATCAGTTTAATTTATTGCCTATTGAAAACAGAGTAGCATGATGTAGAACATGCATGAAACTAGCATATTTGATCTTCACCCCCCAATAATCTCAGGCTCAATTTAACTCATTCAGAAATTCTCTACCACCTCCTATCCTAAGGAGCACAGGAAGACAGGGAATGTTGTTGTCAGTTCATAGAAAGTTGTCTCCTTCACTGTTCTCCTGCTCCAACACAGCCTGCAGTCCTCTCTCTCTCCCATGGCCCGCAGTCCTTCGGGACTTCTGTTTTCCCAGAGGATCCACAATGATTGTGGATGAGATGGGCAACGTCTGGTGTTGGGACCATTGGAGTGCCTGGAATTGGCTTTTCCCTAGCCTTGACCTCACCTAGTTGAGACCCGACAGGCCCCAGCTGCAGCTCCTGGCCCAGACACCCTGTACATCTGCCTGTGGATCACTGTGAGATGAAGCTGGGTCTTCCTTCCACGCACACCTTGCAGAAAACACACACTCCTGGGGCCATAACTGAGCCAGAGTGCACTGGGAAAAGCCAATCTCATCTCCAGGTCAGGGCAGGCCAGGAGAGCAGTCCCACAGAGCAGGCAATCCTGTCCTTACAGGCCTGGAGTGNAAAGACAATCTATTATAATATTTCTATTGTTTTGATATGGCTCCTTGTTAATGAACGGTCTCTCAAAATCTGAAAGGGTTTTATGCACAGAGAGTCAAGTTTTTCAAGAATTGAAGGGATTTCTTTCCTACAGCTAAGTATGTTCTGGAAGAAAATGTAGAAAAGCACAAAAATCTCACTGTATCAGCTGTGAATATTTCTTGTTTTCCCAGAAGTTCATGTTTCTGCCTTCAGCTCTTCCTTGAGTGTCCTACAACACTTCTCTTACAAGTTTACAAACACCATGATTTTTGACAAGCCAGTGTTGAAGATCTTAATACTAGAAATGTATTTTCATACCTCTGGCCAATGCAAAGCATGGTTGCTGTTAAAAAGGACCAAATGTTGCTGTTCTAAATACTCCTGAGTCTTTTTTCTAGCTCAAGTTATTGCAAAAATGCTCATCCTGTTTCAATGAATTTACTGTTTCCATGTAGGTTGCGTGTTTTATATTTCTTGGCCAAATGGCAGCTGGTGCAGGACAAAACTTCTGTGGCTTTCAAAAATGCAGGGTGATCTTCCCTGACACAGAGGACAAGTAATGAAGTGATAGTTTCTGGGGCTTAGTCTGCTTTCAGGCTGGAGTATTTTTAGGGTATCAAGGCACGTGGTCAGCATCCAAATAATGATTTATGTGACTCCTTTCATATTAAAAACTTCTACAATCTTACTCTAAATCCAGTGAGCAGATTGAAAAGTTAAATACAGAGAAGAAAACTACTGAACAGAGAGTAAGCTCTCCCTTTTTCTCAGGTGTTGGTCCATGGTGGGGAACCAGCAGACTGGACAGAACCTCTCAATTGGGTCAGGGTGTGACTACAGAGCAATTGTGGAACATGAGATCCTGCACGCTTTGGGATTTTACCATGAGCAGTCGAGGATGGACCGGGATGACTACGTCAATATCTGGTGGGATGAAATTATTGAAGGTGGGTTTTAACGTTCAAGTTACATTTTGCAAAGTGTAGATTTATCAATATCCCATTTTCACTTCTAGATTTAAAGACCTTCCTAAGGATAGAATTTTAGAAAACAGTGAACCACATCTGAGACCACTGTAATTAATAAATTTTGGTGCAACTTCTCTGGTCAAGCCCAGACATTATTTAAGGCCAGAAGAGAGAGGCCCTGCTTGGAAATCAGGACTTTTATTTCCCTTTGGCTCTTGGACTGCTCTGCTCTCTTATTTTAAACAAATTACTTCCCCTCTATGAATCTATTTCCTTTTACCATGTAATGCAAATTGTAAACTTATTTAGATTATTAGTTTTGAGGTAGCTCTTCTGTAGGCAAGATCCTTCCAAAATCTGAAAGGTTTTATATTCAGAGATTCAGGCTTTCCTGAAACTGAAAATATTCACTTTGCACATGAAAAAACCCTTAAAATTATTAGAGCAGATGGGAAATATGAAGTAGGGCTCTGTCTTGCTCTCTCCTACCCAGGTGTGTCTGCAGATTCTTGCCTTCAGGTTCAGTATCACCATATTCAGGAGCTTCATGAGTTTCAACAAACTCTTCACAGTCCCCCTTATCCCTAGACAGTTTTTCCTGTTGTCCGCTGTAAGATCTGATTCTGTATTACATAACAATGATATATTTGAAAAAGAGTGACTAGAAGAGAGTTTTTAAAAAAATTTTGATAAAAGGTGCAATTCAAGTCTCTGTAAGAAAACAATTCTAAGCTCCATATAATCTTGAGCCTTGAACTGAAGACCTTTGTGATTTGCAGAAGGGGAGGGCAGCTGTTAAGCAGAGAAAGTGTAATTACCCACCGACACAGTCGTGTGCTGTTTTGGCTTTGAAAAAGAATGCCAAATATTCTGAAAACATTATTTGCAATTGTAAATGCTGGCAAGGTCTTTTTACTTCTATACCAAAGCATATGAAGTGACTCCCTCTCTTTGCCCTAGCAGACACCTTCATAATGAAAAACTTTCTCTAAGTACAAATTACTTCACCAAGGAACCATGAGTAACCTGTTTCCAAAAGCCACTTCAGTAGAAATATCATAGCAATGTTGTAATCTAGGGTAAAAATACATTTTTCCCCAGAGATTGCTAGGGCATTATTTATTTCAAAGACGGGCAGAACCTGAAGACACTTCTGGGCTTTCCAGATTTGTTTCCTTTATGAGTTTCAGGGCCTCTCCTTCTCCATATATGATCTAATACCTGGAAAATATTTGCATCAATATTCACAGATTCTGGAATGGAGTACATTAATCCTTAAACTTGATCCTTCAGGACCATTAATGTTAAACCATTCCTATTAATTCTAATCTCACCTCCTATGTATTCCATTCTTTACAGCTCATTGATATAAATTTTTGAATTTACTGGAGTCACCTGTGATTTCAGTAATGGAAGTGCAATCCAAAGGCTCTGCTTTGTTGTCCAAATGACAAACATAAATCTTGCTAAGTTTTAATATTTTGTTGTGAAGTAATTGCTTTGGGGTATATAATTTGTGCCTTAGAAAATTGTATCCAAGGCGAGATGGTAATGCCATTTCCTTTCCATTTTCTCTAAAAAGGAAGCACTTTTCTGTTCTTTTACCAGGCAGAGAGCACAATTTTGTGAAGTATGATGACACCTACATCACTGATCTGAACACCCCCTATGACTACGAATCAGTCATGCACTATCAACCATTTTCATTTAACAAAAATGAAAGTGTCCCCACAATCACAGCGAAGATACCAGCGTTTGATGACATTATTGGCCAACGTCTAGACTTCAGTGCCATTGACCTGGAAAGACTGAATCGCATGTACAACTGCAGTAAGTCAGAATTTAACCATGGCAAACAATTTCTTTGGTTGTACTTGAGCCAGGCTGGTTCATCTCCTTTATGTCTCTAAACTCACAAAAGCTCTTCTCAGATGTGCTTGAAGAGGTATGGGACAGGACCTGTAGTGTGCAGATAAACACAATCAGTTTGTCCCCTTCTCATCCCTTTTTGGCTCTTCTCACTGTCATTACTTTAGGAAAGATTAGTCAAGGAAAGTCAAACCATCCACACTTTTTCTTCTGTGCTGCTCCCAGGAGTTCAGACCTGTGGTTGTGTTCTGCCTGTGGTGTGTGGGCAGCCTTGTTGTATTTTTGAGGTGAATGCAACTGCACTTTGTCATCTTTTACTGACATTTGGACTTAATCAGATTATTTTGCACCTGAGATTGCCTAGGTCTAGAGTCCCACACTGCCTAGGTGTTTGCTGAGCTGGTTGATATTATCACTGGTCATGGTTGTTCATGAGAAGTTATTGTCCCCTTGGTGTTGCCAGCAGAAACATCACCTTGAAGGCAAACTCATCTGAACCAGCCCAAGGTAACTGGGTGGACTTTGCTTGGAGTGGAAGGACAGAGCTCAGGTTAATGAGAGAAGCTGCTATGAAGAACAATAACCTCAGCTGAGGAATGGTTAAATACCCCAAGGCTGGCAAAGAGAGGAAAAGACAGTCACCATCTGTCACTTCCACAGGGGGCTTATTAACCTTCTGCAAAGAGGTCAAAGATTGTTGTCTTTATCCAGGGAATCCCTCCAGGAATCAAATGTTTCCTCTTTTGAGTCATTGGGCTCACATCTGCTAACGTGAGAGTTGTCTTATCTACAGGATGGTTATACTACTGTAAACAATCCCCCCAAAAGTAAAGAAGAAATTTTAATGAGCTAAAAGCTCACTCTGAGGTGACCGTGTGTGTATTTTTTTTTCAGCTTCAACTCACACCTTTTTGGACCAGTGTTCTTTTGAGCTTGAAAACATCTGTGGTATGATCCAGGGCACCCAGCGTGACCAAGACTGGGTCCACCAAAAGGGCAGTGTGATGGGGCAGGAGGACCACACACTTTCTGGGCGCTGTAGAGGTAAAAGAAGGGAACAAAACACTTTCTGAGCTGGGTTTCCCCAAGGCTAACTACAATAATGGGTTCAGAGAAGTTGGTAAAGACTCTAGACAGTGTTTGCATTCCCACTCTCAGCAAACTTTTTCAATGTAGTGGAATGTTGTCCACACCAGGAATATCAAAGGGGACAAAGAACAATCTGTAGAGGTCTTTTAAATATAACCTGGAAAACAATTTACTGCAACTTCCAAAGTCTGTGTAAGAGTTATATTACTTCATGATAAGAATCATACAGCACTTGTTGCCACTCACTCATAAATGTTGTGTTTGCAATGGAAATAGGAAGTTAAGCTTGTGGAATTCTAGTTTTGGAAGTAGAAGAAAGTTGCAAGGATTTTATGATAGGAGTTCAGGGATAATTTTTTGATGTGGTAATTTCACCATTTTTCAAAGGAAGACCTTCTCAAAAATAGAGCAGTGAGTCTCAGTCACAGTGTGCTAGTTTACAGCTGAGAATAAGGATTAAATCCCAACAGGCAGTTCTGAAAAGCAATAGCTGAATTTGTCATTGTTTAGACAGGGTAAACTACTACACAATTCTAAGATAAAAGTGACTTCTGTGGTAAATTTTCACTCAGTAGAGGGAGAAGGACTCCTGACTTAAAGCACATTCCTTTGTGCTTTGTTACTCTTTGTCTTGCTGCACTCAGGACTAGTTTATTCCCCTCAAATGACTCACCAACTGAAAATAACAGGTGTTATTAGCAACCTTTATAATTGTTGTTGTTAACAACCTTCTATAATGTTGGTAGCCATGGATCAGGCCCAAGAATATAACTCAAGAAAACCACCTGATATTTTCTAGAAATACATACTTCTAACATTCAGCTCATTACAAATTCTTCATTCTTTCTCTCCTCTTTCTTACCCTGTACAGTACAATTGTAACTGAAAAAGATAATTTATATGAGTTTTTGAGATTATCACATCTGCCTGAACTGGGCACTTAATGTGCCCTTAGGTTTTAACATCCAGTGACTCAATACAAAATAAGCATCAATGGTTTTTTAAGAATTAATGGAGAGGGGTGGGTACCTCTGAGGATTTCCAGAGTGTAGAAATTAATTGCATGGAAAGAGAATGTCTCTCCTTTTGGCATCTCCAAAGGGTCATTGACACCATCAGGAGTTTCTGACATTTTTGAGAACTGGTTCTGCAATCATTACAAGTGGGGGCAAAATCCTAATTTTCTAACATAGATGAATCCTATTTTCCCCAGATAGTTTTGATATTCTGAGTATTTTACTTATTGGTGGCTAAACTGAAGGAAGAAAAGTACGGCTAAACATTTAGGGAGTCTGCTGAAGTCTGCCATATTCTAATTGCCATAGATACTTAATATTGCCTTTATTTGACTTTCTTATCCAAAAGGAGGTAGAGTCTAGATCATTTGGGGGTTTGTACTATAACAATTGCAACAACAGGCTCACAGCCCTGCTTCTCACTTGGAGCAAGAGTTAAAATTACTGTAATTGTTGGTTAAGTGTCATACATTGCATAGAACAATCTCTAACAATGTTTCTGTGGACATGAGTTCAAAATATTGCTACCATATGGAAGTGAATGAAGATAATTCCCCTGACTGATTAGAGAGAACCTGATAAGCAGCTCAAGACCCTTCACTAACCCTGCAGGAAGCTGCACTGCCTTTATGCAGCTGCAGGTATAACTGTTGGAACAAGATGATCTTAAGGCTCTTTCCAACCCAAACCATCCTGTGATTCTAAGATATGTTATCTTGGACAAGAGTCTATGGAACTTTCACACAACAGCAAAAAAAATTAACTTATTAATCATTGACTAAATTGAATAACTAAAAAGCAACACAATACAGATAAAACCTGACAATTTTGTGTGAAACCAAGATATTATAGGTGTGCAAATGGTGAATCCTTGTAAGTATGAGGATAAAAGTAGACGCTGCAAAATTAAAGAAAAGAACACTTCAAAAATGTTAATGGGAAATAGAGGAGCAGGAATTCTTAAGTAATTTTCTTACGCTGAGTCATTGAGTTTTGAAGTAGTTGGGCAAGCTGTAAAAAAAAACCTTCTGCATGTTCAAGATCAGGACAGTGTTTTGTGTCCAACCCCTGTTTATTATCTTTATTGCTGATAAGAAATTATCTTACTCTTTACAAGGTAATATAGCACATGACCTCTAAGATCGCATTTTTAGATTAGCTTCAGTGTAAATCAAGTAAAAAAATTGTATCTCCTTATTGCTTGTAGTCAACACTGAATTCTCTGCTTCATATATCTCTGACATTCCTGAGGAGTCCAAATTCCAATTAGACCAACAAATGCACAACTGACATGAGCTGACAGCAGTGAGTTCCATATATATGCTGAACTGCTACTCCTGTTCTTATTCCAGTCTGTCTTGGATGGTTGTCAAATGTCATTTCCTTTATTGTTCATGTTAAGTACTGCTCTGCTGTTTACTAAAAGAGTGCAGATGAAATGATCAATTTACACCATGCAGCTTTGCAGGAAATGTGTAAACAGACAGTGACAGACTATCCTTTATTCCCAGATGCTGGCTACTTCATGTACTTCAACACCAACTCTGGCCAGGCAAATGAGGTGGCAATCCTAGAGTCCCGAATCCTTTATCCAAAGAGAACTCAGCAGTGCCTCCAGTTCTTCTACAGGACCACAGGAAGCCCTTCTGACAAGCTGATCATCTGGCTGAAAGAGGACGATGGCACTGGGAACATTCGTAAGATGAGGAAAATTCAAACCTTTCAAGGTAATTCTGGAAATAAGATTAATATTTTAGTAAAGAGGAGGAGTTGGCTTACTCTGCCCGTGACTGACTCAGAAACCAAAAGATTTTCCTGAAGTTACCGGAACACCTTGCAATACAGTTAAGAATTTTGGTATCACATGAGCACATTTAGCAGAGAAACTCTGGGTTGTAATAATGTAATTTTAGTGCTTCACAGCAGAAGTCACAACATTCCTAATATTACGTTGCACTCAGTGACTGAGAGGGACCCCAGGCCATGCTGGATACCAACTGACTGTGTCTCCCCTGGCTGCTATATGACCTAAGAGTGGGCTTTCAGGTGTAAAATACCTGTGCTCCTTTGCAGTCATTAAGAATCCCAGACTGAATTTTAGATAGTTGGGAAAAGCATATGCAGTTTTGGAAATGTGTACTGGATTCCCACTTTGGATGATTTGCTAAATAGGACAAACTCACCCACTGAAGCGCCATATGATTTATGTGGTCAAAACACAAGACCTGTCATAAACTGCCTACATGAGGCTGCTGCAGTTTACAGTGAAGGATAAATACATGAAAAATTGTCAGGAACACATTGGGTCATTGTTTCCCATCCTCTTGTTTAATCTTAACCCTTAGGCTGTTGTCCTTTGTATTGGAGGCTGTCATTCCCTAACATGTGAGGAATTCCTTGTACAACATGTCCAAAGCATTTAGATGACAAAACAATGTGGATATATTTTAGTCACAATATCAACTTAAGATCTCTGGCCTTCAGGACTCTGTGAGGGGTCCAGTTGTCTAAAAGTCCAGCTGGGATGGACAGTTAGGGGCAAGTTGCTTTATAATAACACTAATCCCACTGATGGAAATGTTTTTCTTTCCTTTTACCAAAGCGGACAGTGACTCCAACTGGAAGATTGCCCACGTAACCCTCAACGCTCAGAAGAAATTCCGTTACTTCTTCCAAGGACTGAAGGGCAACCCCAGCTCTTCACTGGGTGGGATTGCTATTGATGATGTGACTCTGACAGAGACCCCCTGTCCCACAGCTGTGTGGGTTATTCGCAACTTCAGCAAAATCCTTGAGAACTCATCCATCAGCCTTGTTGAAAGCCCCAGGTTTTACAGTCCTGAGGGTTATGGGTTTGGCATCAGCGTGTTGCCCAACTACCAGAACAGCAGCTATGCTCGTGTTGCCTTCCACCTGTGCAGCGGAGAGAATGATGCAGTTCTGGAGTGGCCGGCTCTGAACCGCCAGGTCACACTCACAGTGCTGGACCAGGACCCCGATGTCCTGAAAAGGATGTCCTCAAGCAGAAGCTTCACCACAAGCAAGGACCATGTTAGCTCAGGTAAGGGATGTCATAAATGCCTGTAGGAATGTTGGCAATGACAGCCAAGGAATCTGAGCAAGAGGACTGAGTGTAGGACTCAGAGCTGAGAAACTTTGGCCGTATTTCCCAATTTGGGACACTTTGCTGTGCACATCTTCCCTGTGTGGGACTCAGAATTCCTGCCTGTGAAAGATTGTATAAGATGAAAAGTGACATATATAAGGTTGACGTTATTATGAACAATACCTAGGATATCTGAGCTTGACTTTAAATATAGATTTTCCCCGAGAGCTGGCAATTCCCTTTCTACCTGTGGTTTGTCCATTGTGATAGGTGACATATCACCACAGGTGGATGGAATGACAGCAGGGTGCAGTATTCTGTCACTAAACAGTAATTTAAGTTAAAACTGTATTTTGGAGGCTCAGTCAACTTCAACACACACTCAGGGAAGCTCAGCCTACATGGTCTGAATGCACAAGATTCACCCTTTCTCATGGATGTGTCAATTCAGAATTGTTCAGCCTGGAGAACAGAAGGCTGCACAATCAGGGGGACCTAGTTGTGGCCTTCCAGTACCTGAAGGGAGCCAGCAAGAAAAATGGAGAGAGACAATTTACAAAAGCACAGAGTGCCAGGACAAAAGGGAATTGTCTCCAAACTGAAAGAGAGCAGGTTTAGATTGGATATTAGGAAGAAATTCTTTACAGTGAGGATGGTGGGGCATTAGAACAGGTTGCCCAGAAAAAACTGTGGATGCCCCATCCCTGGAAGGACTCAAAGCCAGGCTGGATGGGACTTGGAGCAACCTATTTTAGTGGAAGGTATCCCTGCCCATGGCAGGGGGTTGGAATGATATGATCTTTTAGGTGCCTTCCAATCCAAACTTTTCTGTGATTCTATGATAGAAATTAGAATATTAGGGCAAAACAGAGTTTGTACAGAATAAAATACTACACATGAATTTTCATCCCTTTCTACTTTTTCTAGTGGAATTTAAATACATAGTTTTTCAGTAGGAGTTTTTAAACCCTAAATATGAATATGTTTAACAAAATCATAGCAATGACAAAAATCAGCTAAATTCTAAACCTTAGGTACCTACAAACTGGACTGGAGCGTCCTTACTCAGGAGGGAACTCTTAGCTGGTAACAATGAGGAGGTAACTTTTTTAGTTCTCAGGGAAAGAGAATTTGTGGCATTTCAATGGCCTCTTATAGACTAAGAATCCTCATGCAGACCTAACCTGAAGATCACCTGGCACCTTTAGTTTGTCAGTCCTCTGGGATTTGTTTGGGAAATTCAGGCCTGACCCTGATTTTATAGCATAAATCACCTTTAACACAGAAATGCAGGAAAAAGTCATGTTGTACTTTGAGATGCACAGCTTTGTGGTTCTCATTTTCTCTTTGCAGGTAGTGGAACTATAATATGGGATAAACCATCAGTTGCTGGAAGGTTTGATGAGTCGTGCAATTGCTACAGAAGTGTAACCTGGGGGTGGAATAACTTCATATCTCACAGCCAGCTGAGACGGAGAAGCTTCCTGAAAAATGATGACCTTATTATCTTTGCAGAATTTAATGGTAAGGACCCCTTTCCTGATTCTCCTTACAAAATAGGTGATTCTTTCTATTTTCATACATTCAAATAACTCTCGACACCTGTCTCCAAGATCTCTTCTAATGGGGATCAACTTTAAAAAGCATTTCTGTGTCTTAGTGTCAGGTGGGTGAGGTTGACTAAAGTGATTGTGAGTTAAGAGGGATCTAAATGGCAGTGAGTTTTGAAATGTGAACTACCCTGACCAGTATCTATGTCCCTTCTAAGCACTGAACATACTAAAGGCCATCCCCACTGTTTGTTTCCAAATAGAACAGCCTCATAGAACATCACAGATTTACCTAACTAGTTTCTGTAATTTCAATATGATTTTCTATCTTGTGCTTTAAACACACAGAACTTGTGGTGGTACAGCAAGAGCTCTGTAAAGGGAAAATGGACAAAGAGCATCCTCTGGTCTAGAAAGCATCCTGTGAGCCCGATTTAAGGCATGCTACATATAGCATCATTCACTGATTCTGGTGTCTTTCTCCTTTTTTAAAGATATAATTCACCTCAATAACACAGAAGTTCCTGTTGAACCTGTGCAATCTGCCCTTATGGAAGGCCTCGTGCTTGAAAGGCAGAAGAGAGCAGTCCAGGACATGGAGCCCGTCCAAGACCAGCTGCCTTATCTGCCAGACCCGTGTGACCCAAACCCTTGTCAGAATGATGGAGTCTGTGTGAATGTGAAAGGAAAAGCAAGCTGCAGGTACCACAGACCTCCTCCCTCCTTGTCCTGGCTTTCTTCTTCAAGTAATGCAGCTAAAAAGTACTCAGAGCTACAGACCTCAGAGGTCTAAGCCATCAGGTCGTCAAGGAGTAGTAGAAACATAATACTCTACCACAGTTGCTAGTTCCTTCCAGCAGCCAGGAGGGCAGGTTTCTCAGCATAAAGCAAAGAAGCCCCATTCTGTGGTGCTTCCAGTGTGTAAATAGCCTCCTAACAAGGTAGGAATATTGTGACTTGAACCCCTCCAATGGGAACTGCTCATCTGGGATAGTGAGTGTGAGGACCTTGGGGTGAGGGCATGACAAGGCTCCTGATCCACTGAATCTGTGTTTTGTTTTCCCAGGTGCCCATCGGGACAAGCCTTCTTCTTCACTGGGGAGAGGTGTCAGTCAAGGCAAGTCCATGGGAACATCCTGGGAATGACTATTGGTGGAATTGCTGGAACCATTGTCTTGACGGTCGTCCTCATTTCCATGATGGCTAGAAGATAAAGAACTGCAGGGGGCACAAATTTCAACCTGGTTCATAAAACACCCATTTTCAAAGAAAAATTATGAATGTAACTTGGAGAAAACCACTCATCATATGGACGAAAAGTTGTGCCAACGGCTTGGCAGCAATCTGGATTTTTTCTGAGGGATGTGGCAATTAAAGTGTGTCATGTAGAGCTGCTGTCTGATAAAAATTCATACACTCCCTTTCTTGTGTGTATTTTGAAAGTTTTGTTTCTTCATCCCATAGCAAGCAGAAGTGTTGAGAGCCTATGCATTTACTCTCAGCCATGGTTCAAACTTAGATTAAATAACTGGTTGAACTTCTCAAAACACTGTTAAAAATCACACCAGAACACCTGTATTAAGATTCTGGAAATGTTCCTGCAAAAATTGCTCAAGAATCCTAGAAGGTACAGATACTTATGTAAGTCATCATCGCTCACTTTGCCTGGAGCTGTGCTGGTGTACTTCCACTAATTAGCTATTACACAGAATTCATAAACTCTTGCCCATACCACCTTGCCCATACCAAGCCATCATAAGTGCTTCTAACTGTAGAGAACAGTTTCCCATCCTGATTCACCACAAAGTTCCAGGAACAGCTTCACCATTGACAAACACAGGCCTGATTCCCTAACAATCAAACAGAACTGTACCACGTGGCTGAGTATTTGATATTGAACTCAAATCGAAATCTTCATGATTCTACCACATTGTATATTAAATTTTGCAACATTTGTGTGCATTATAAATACTTTTCAGGTTCTTCTCAAGGCAGGGGTCCTGCCTTTAAAGGTGTACAGGCTTGAAAAAAATGGTTCCACAAATGTAGTATTAGAGCAATAATTTATATAAAACCATTCATCCTGCCTGGCACATGATGATTTATATTCACTATAGAACTTATTCTCTGAGTCCTTCAAGTGTGTTTCTCCTCTGAGAGAAGACCCAAACATACAGACTTTACACAAGGCACTCCTTGCATTCTAAACAATTGTATGCATTAAATAAATGCAGTCCCCTCTGTGGCAGAGGGCAGCAACCATCTGTGTTTTACCACATTACATATCAAGGGAAAGAAAAATATTGTTAAGGGCATAAATCTTCCTTTTCTTCAAAAAAGTGCCACATGGAGCTTTCAGTCTTTCCATCTGAAAGAAGACCATGCAGGAATCATCACGGTCTTCATTTTATGTAAGTCAAAAGTGAAGATCTGAAATGGGCCTTCTCAGTTGGAAATTTTTAGTTCCAGAAAGTCTTAAATAGAAAGTGGAAACCACAATGGCCTTTTCAGACTCTAATACGAGGGCAGGAGAGAAGCTGTGAGGTATTTGTGTATCTACACAGGCCTTTGGGATCATTCAGAGAGTTGATAGGGGAAATACCAAATCCACTGGACAACAACTGTGTGAAGCACTGCAATTCATGTCTCAGTACTGCATAGTGCTAAGCACCCACTTAAGGGCTGAGAGTTCTTCACTCCCAATGTCCTTTCTTGCACACGAAGGCCTTCAAATCCTTGTCATCTCTTCTGGGATTGGCAGACCTTGTAAAATTCCTCCTCTCTCAGCTTCCCTGCCTTACACATTAACCAGAAATGATTATTCCAGAAGAATTCACCAAGGCACAATTCAGTCAAAATGAAGCAGTCCGCTTCCTGGTGACTCCCAGGAGCTTTTCGTGTGTGTCTTGAAGAGGTCCTTTCAGAGTTACATGATTTAGCACTGGCAGTGCTTCAGTTAAGCAAGGAATATGCCTTGGAAGTATTTTCAGTGGAAGAGGTGGATGGCTCGGAAGAAGACACTCTGTATTTGCCTGCAAAACAAAGCACAGGGGTTAGACAAGTTGTCACTGCAAAGTAAGGACAATGACAGCTGTGCTGGTGGCCAAGGTGGCTCTGCTTTGCCCTGCAGCCCTGGCACTACCTGAGAACTCAGCGTGTTGGGTGACAGAGCCAGGATGTGTCAGCTCAAATTCCCAACCATCCCACAGGACAATGATTTTCTTACACAAATGAAGGCACTTAGTGCTTCTCCTGGAGCACAGGGACATCCAGAGCACATTCACAGGCTCCTGAGGTGAATCTCAGCTCCCTCCCTCTTATGGCCACAAGGCTCTAAACTAAGACCCAAGTGTCACTATCTTCTCTGAACAATGTGTGGATACAAAGATTGGACACTTAGAAATTAAATGTTATTTCCAGAAATGTTTTTTGCAAGATGAAGTCATAACACTAAAATGGTGATGTCCACAAAATGGCAGCCAGAGAACATTTGAAGAAATACAGTTACAAGGTGGTGAAGAGTACATGAATGACAGATGAACTCTGCCATGATCTCATTAAGCCCAAAACAGAGCTTACTTAGTGGGATTTAGAATTGGTGAAACATCCAATAATTGTTTTAGGGATAGACAATTTCACTGCTAGCAGGATGCTACAATTGACTTATTGCAGTTCCTTTGCATTAGAAGAGTAAAAACAATCTATGGATGCATGGAGAGACAGATTAATGGATATCAGGACAGACAGACAGACCCTGAGAGCAAGAATGAAGGCCAAATCCTGTTTGTGCTTCAGTAAGGGAGATCTGTTGTCACATACCTGTTTTCCCACATAAGTTGTTAAAGGTTCTTGAAAATGGGTAGCTCATAGCAAGCATTGGTGTCACCAGGATCAGAGAGGATGACTGGAAGAGAGAAAAATGCTTTTGTCAAAAGAACTTTCTTTGTAGCCCCACTTTAGGAAAAAAAAAAGGTTCCAATAAACTTTGTTTCAGTAGTATGAGCAAACAATCCACAGAAGGCAAAGCTAGATGTTTGTGAGGTATCAAGTTCACACATTTGCATGTTTATGGTGGTGATGGGGGAGATCAACTTTAAAAAAACCTACAAGGCACAATCTGTTTGTCTCTAACTCTTGACCAGGGAGAATGGCTTAGGCTCCATAGTCTGTCCTAACAGGCAGTATGGGATCCTGTTCTCTTAGCTGTGTCAGTATGGCCATTAAGGTAGCCACAATAGCCAAGATTTATGTGAATGAGGATTGTTCTTGACAGCCAGCAGGCTGAGATAATTCGAGGCAAATTTTACTTGCCACGCTAGAGGGCGTTGGAACACAACACTTTGCAGTCCAGATCCGCAAGAAGGAAGGAACATTTTGCTGCTAAAATTAAGTTTCGTTTTTGGTTCTGGAGTGGTTGGAGAATTTAACGTGATTCCTCCAAGGATGTATTAAAAAAGGCACGGAAACCAAATATTTTTCTCTTCAGTCCCTCTTTGTTATTTAGTTGCACTTTTGTGGGGGAAATATGCAGTGTTGTGTATTGTCACCTATATCATAAGGTGGTAGAGAAAGAAGGTAAATGAATCACATATAAAACGCTTAATGTAAGACTTTGATATTGCTTTATTTGCTCATTCTCAGACCTCAACAGGCTGGAGAAATGAAAGGAATCTTACGAAGTTCAGCAAAGGGAAGTTCAAAGTCCTCCTGCCCCTGGGGAGGAACAAACCCAATGCCAGGACATACTCAGGGCTGTCTGATTAGGACAGAGTAAAGATGGAGCCAGACCTTTCTCCTTGGTGCCCAGTGGGAGGACAAGAGGCTTTGAGAACAAATAGAAATACAGGAAATCCCACTTAAGATGAAACTCTTTCACTGTGAGTGTGGTCAAACACAGGAAAAGGCTGCACATAGAGCTTGTGGTGTCTCCATCCTTGGAGCTACTCAAACCTAACTGGACACAGCTCTGAGCTCTAGCTGACCACGCTCTGATGGGAATGTGGTGGAAGATGATCTCTGAGGGTAGTTTCCAATTTCAGCAATTCCTGCGGAAACTGGAGTGATTTGATCCGATGCTGTTCTTCTGAACTGACAGCTCAGCCTTAATGGACTCCTTAATTCCTTTGAGCCTGTGTTCTCATCTTCTTAATTATCCTTGCTTTTAAGTTGGCTTCCTAGGTCTTTAGCAATACCTGTACAGGCTCTTCTGAATAAACCCTGTTCAGAGACCAATATAAAATCAAACTTTATTGTCATATAAGGGTGATGCCAGCACCATTGGCAGCTCAGGAAGAAGGAGGGGTGGGTGTTGGAACTAGATGATCCTGAAGGTCCATTTCAACCCAAAGCTTTCTAAGTTTCTTACACATCCTTACACACCTTTTTGTTAAGGTGTTATAAATGCAGAAGTGTAAATTGAAACAGTAATTCCCAAGAAGTTCCCCTTGCATTTCTCTCAGATTGTGAATAAATACTAGTGCCAAAAATTTTCTGTTTTCTAACTGAAAGTTTTCAGTTACATTTTCTAGTTTCTTTCTTGTGGAATTTAAATCAAATGTCCACTACTGCCTTCTCAATTTTTACCAATTAAAGTGAAAATAATGAACTTTTAAAAAGATGATATAATCATATTTATGTTGTTAGCGTCCTCTGTGACTTGTTCTAATAAATAATCCAGAATTTCAAGTGCACTGGACAAAATTAGGCTACTCAGCAGTAACTGAAATGCATTTTTAGGTCAAGATTCTAACCTTTGATTGCTGTGAACTCCATTTGGATGATGAATTCCTCTTCAACAGGGCTTCTTGTATCTATTTGTTAAAAAGATTAGTCAATCAGTAAATACAGAAATTCTGTTCAAATTCCAGCAGTATTTTGACATATTGTAAGAAATAGTTGGAATCCTTACCTTCTTATCCCAGAGAGTCCCAAACACGAAAATGAATAATCCCTAGGAGACAGATAATTACATTCATTTTGATGACAGCAATCCTTAATTTCAGTATCTCATAAATATCTCCGACATTGTCCATTTAAACTATTAAATGGTACTATTTAAACTTTGAACTCTTTGATAGAGAGCATTTTTCTAACTGTTTATCACAGTTAGGGACTGCTCATTTGGCAGCTCCCCAGGTGTTGTCTATTTAAATTCTGTGTTGATCTGGTCTACAAACTGACACAGATAGTTTGGTAGCACTAAATGTATTTGGAAAAAGGAATGTGTATGTATGGAAGACATGTCCTACCTGTGCTCTCCAGACAAACTATTAGGTTCCAAGAAAAAGGCCAGTGAGTTTGGTTTGAAGAAAACAGTTTTGATGCCACTCTTAACAATGGGAAATGTTAAGAAT